GGCTCCAGTTCCAGTGGTAACTCTGACTGCATGCTAAGTGACTGCCTGGGATACTTAGATGGCTGCCCTGGGTTGAGTGTTCTAGGATTGATTAGCAATGTCTGCCCTGGGCACTGGGTAAAGGAGGAGAGGTACACACGCCATGGACTTACTAAATCTGGGGTAGTGGCTTCATGAAAGAATTTCATTTTTCTCTGGGCTTTCGGGACCAAATCTTCCATCCCCGAGTGTCCCCCATTACACAGTAAGGAAGCTGAGATTTTTATGAGGAAGGGTGACTTAATAGTTGGGAGTCCTACAAGGACAACCTTGCCTCCTACTGGGTCCTAATTTTGGAAAGTCCCTCAGTATCATCTAGCCTTATACCCTTTCTCAAGCCCTGCTTCCTCCTACGACCTCTTTCTGGCTCCACTTATTCAAAGAATTTCCATTCCATCCTCTTGAGTTTCACACACTCCAAACTGCAGAAAGCAACGATCCTACTCAAAGATAACCAGCTCATTTCTAACGGGAAGCAGAGGCATGAATCAAACAAGCAAATATTTGTGACACAACACCCCCCACCCCGCCCCACCCTTTCTGCTATTCTTCCAAGGGAAAAGGCAGGGGAAGTCGTTGAGAAAACGGCCTCGCCATCAACACATTTCAGACCCTTACTCGTCTGGCTCAACACCACGAGTGGCAAACCAACCGGCACACACCACCAAAAAAAAAAAAAAAAACAAATTCTAACAAGACATTAATAGATCAATAAAAATAGCTTCCACGAGAAACGATGAGGAATCACGCAACAAAATGATTTCTTTCTGTGAGCGTAAACTCATGAATAATCAAATTCACAGTCCCCAAACGAGCCAAGCGCAGGTCTTGTCAACCTCATCCCAGTGTCCTCGTGGAAGGTCACCTCAAACCTTTGCAGGCCTGGGTGGCTCTGCCCCTCACGTCTCCTCCCCACCCCCTGCCCCCTCCCAGCACCACCACCTCTTCCTTAGACGGGAGAAATTAATTCCCAGTGCTATGGAAACGTGCAGCAAATCTGACTGGAAGGCTGGGGCAGCACTCATGAATCATCAAGCAGAAAGGGGAGTTCGATAAAATATTGGGGGGAGGTCCTCAGGCCACGGCTTTTGTGAGCTGAACCCGAGCCCTTGCTTCAAGCTCCTTTAGTGTCACATTTTAACCTACCAGCTGCCTCGAGAAGCAAGATGATCTTCCCTGTCTTTTTTCTTCTCCCTTTAAAAAAAAATTATTTAAAAAATTTTTTTATTTTCCCTCATGTGTTAAGGGAGGAAACAGTGACAGGGACAAGTGACAGCTCGCTAATTATTCCCTTACTGCCACTGCTGTTCTGGCTTTGGACGCATTGCTCATTTCTCCCCGTCTTCGCACTGAATAATGCATGGGTCCCTATCTGTATTCAAGCGGCACCTCCAGGGACCGCCAGCCTAACTAGCTGATAACTGATTCAGTTTGTAAGCAGGGCCTCTGGGAGTTGCAAGGAAAAGTAGCCAAGAACAAATTTAACACTTCTTTCTCATTTCTTCAGAACATCAAGGAGAGGCCAGTTGGGAAGCAGGTGGAGATGCGTGCTAGGTCCTTGAAAGGTACGTGACCTCGAGTTAGGGGAAGGGAACCTTGGCTCTAGCTGTGGGGAGAGGGTCTACTGATGAAGATGATGAGAATGTGATGAAAATAGTTAAGGTTAGTTGAAGGTTTACTATGTATCTACCATTATACTAAACACTTTGCATGCATTCTTTCTTATAATCATCACCAGAATCCTTTGCTGGCAATGCCTTGTCAGATGTATCAGTTAGCTATTACCATGATAATGCTGTGTAAAGAATGGCCTCCACATTTCAGTAGCTGTCAGCAATACATAGAAGGGCAAGCACATTTCCAGCCTCTGCCTGCATCATGTCTGCTAATAGTCCATTAGCCAGAGAAAATTACGTGGCATGTTCAGTGTCTAGAAGAGAGGAAGCAAGTGTTGCCCACATGAGTCCATGGCCAAGGTGTGGTGTCTGATGCTGTTACATGGGAGTGAAGAGTTAAGTACCAAGAGGGAGTCTCCAGCACAATCTCTTCTGGGAATCAGGACCTCTCATCCCACTGCCCCAACTTTTGCAAAAAGACTTATACCCGTGTTGATCTCCAGACTGGGCTCTTCATTAAATAATGCCAGAAGTCTATGACTCAAATGATAATGATCGTCAAAAATGGCAAATTCTTACCCACTGTCTACAGTACCAAGTACTATTCTAAGTGCTTTACATGTATCAACTCATTTTCTCCTCCTAATAACCCAATAAGGTAGATGCTATTATTATCCCTGTTTTACAGATGAAGCAAGCACAGAGAGGTTAAGCAATTTGCCTGAGGTCACACAGTCGGTAGGGAGCAAAGCCAGGATTTGAACCTAGGTTGGTGGCAGGGAGCAAGCTCTGATCCATTATAGGTGAAAATGGGTTGTCACAGACAAGGTTGAATTTTGGATGCATATGTTATATTTGCAATGGCAGAGTGCAGTTGGCTTTGAGAGATATAATTGGGCAGGGTTAGGTTGGTACCTGAGCCAGGGCCAACCAGTCTCTGAGGATCTGGACACACACACTGCTCCCTGCCAAGGGGTGACACGTTCAGGAACCTACTGGTGGAATTGATGACCTTCTCCCAACTGGCCAGGTGGACCCCGGCTTCTCAAGGAACCACGGGCACTGGGACCACACGTGGCTCTCCACCACCAAATGCTCCCTTCATGCTGCTTGGACTAGGGACCACCATACTCCTTTATCCCCCCTTCTTCCCCAACTAGATCTGGCGATGGCTGGCCATGGCAACAAGGCTGGCTCTTGTTTTATGAATGGTGATGAGACTGGGTATAGATCCACCTGTTTGGAGGTCAAATAATCTCTAATTTTGTCCACTTTTAGAATTAGTAATTTAATCCTTAACCGGATGAAAACAGACCCAGTCTGGACATTGTGGGCCATTCACGTTTGCACAGTTTTGGTTCTTAGAGCCTCGCACAGTGCTTGGGGCATAGTAGGAGCTCAGTGACTCATGGGTGAATGAATGGATGAATGAAGGCTTTACAGATGAGAAACGAAGTCTTAGAGAGGTGAAACTATATAACAAGGACCATTCTTTTCATTCATGATCTACTTACGAGCACCTCCTATAGTGTCAGGCACTGTTAGACGCTAAGGATCCAGAGTCTCTGCTGTCACAGTCCAAGGAATATCCAACATAATGTCAGGTGGGGAGGAATAAGGCAGGGTAAGTGGGGGGAGCGTGCTGGTGGTTGGTACAGATGCTCTCACCTCCTAACATGTGCCAGGCACAGTGCTGGTCCCTTACATATCTGATCGCCTGAAGAGCTCCCCCGGCATCCTGTGAGGCAGCATGATTATTTCATCATTATACCCATTTTACAGATGAGGAAAAACAGAGGCTCTGAGAAGAGAGACGTCTTACCACATATGTAAGACCAGAGGTTAGCCCCCAGGTCTGCCTGCCTTGTCTGAGCGGGGCAGGATGTGGGTTCCCCTCAGCCCCACCCCCAGGCTAGTGGGTCAAGGATGCTGGGCGCTAGGGGTGGGAAGGTGCTTGGGGTCCCCACAGCTGTCACCTGCCCAGGTGTGCATCTGCATCCAGCCGCCCAGCGCTGTCTGCTGGGGTGACACTGGGTTCGCTGCCAGGAGCCGCGTGTCAAGACAGCAGTGGGGGAGGCAGGCGGGCTGTTGGCAGGTGGCTTAAAATAGCAGTGTCCTCATGGCTGCAGGAGCGCTGTTCTCCCGGCTGAGAACACCCAGGGAGAAGATATCTCAGCCCCGCAGCCGCCCCCTCGCTGGTGGCTCCATGCAGAGAAATGGTGCTCAAATGCAAGGTGCCCCCTTGCTCCTAGGGCCTGTGGGATGAAAGCCAAACTCTACTCCAGAACCCTTGTGAGCTGCTTCCCCTGCCCCCAGCTCTGTTCTCCTCATACTCCTTTCTCTTGTCACCCTCGCTACACTGCATTCAAGATGTCCCTTGTACCTTGCTGCCTGAAAGGTCCTCCCTGACATATTCTCCATCTGAAAAATATACGGAATACACTAAGTGTTCAGGATATGTCAATGGGAATCACTTATAAGATACTGAAATCTTATCCTTCAAGCTCAGCTCACTTGTCAGTACTTCTGGGAGCCTTCTAGACTCTCCCAGGAGCAGAAATCCTACCTTCCTCCAAGGCATGTAGACCGTGCTCAGATCAGGATTGCAAAAATCCTGTTTATGGCTTCCTTCAACCTTTCTGACTGGGCAGGCTGTCACACCTACAAAGAGTAGCATTGCTCAACCAGGGGTAGCAGGTAATTGGCACACAGGGCAGAACTCTCCTAGCCGTGCACACGGCAGACATTGCTAATCAATCATAGCATCCTTTCTTTCCAAGCCCTTGAGCTTCGAGGAGGCCATGAGCAATTGACTGGAGTTGACACCAAGATGATGCCTTAATGGCTTCTCACTTCCAAGTGTCATTAACTACAGCCTTTAGATAAATGGCCTCCAGAAGCTTGTCTTCAGGGCTCCCTCAGCCATCAGACTGGTAGGCTCTTGAGGGCATAACAATGACATTTGTTTCAGCATCTCCTCCTCTTGGCACAGAGCCTGGCGAACACTAGGCACTGAAGAATGTCTGTCAAACAGGGGGAACTGGGGAGAACGCATCAGGTGGTGCTGACAAATGCAGAAGTACCTCACTGAGGCTACTCCAAGCCCTAGGAGCTCTCCTGGACCCTGCTTCCCACTCTCTCTCCTTTGGTCTCCAGGGAGCAGAGTCTGGAGCCCAGGAAACCCAAGCCATAGGCTCACTGAGATCAGCCCCAAATCAAACAATGGTTTCCCCACGACTAACTGCACAGAGATACAAGGTCAAAGATAAAAGATCCTCAGACCAAGAAGAGAACAGTGAGAAGGAGAGAAATCATCTCACCAGGTCCTAGCACCTCCCCAAGGCTCCGTGTTTTTATTTTAAAATGGGGATAATAGGAGTCTCTACCTGGCAGGACTGTTGAGAGATAATGAACGGAAAGTCCTCATTGGTGTCTGATGAACAGGAGTTGATGTGGATGATGAAGATGATGATGATGGTGTCATGCTGCTCACAGAGACTCCCTAGGGAGAGAAAAGTACCTTCAGAGAAGCCTGAGCTCCAGTCTCTCCCTGATTCCCAACCTCCTGAGACCTCCCACCCCTGGGAGAGGTGCCAGGAAGAAGGCCAAAGAGGCAGCCCTCCCCTCAGAAGAGGAGGACTGAGTCCCTTGGCAGGGAGAAGGGAAGGAGCCTTTTCTCTGGAGATAGTATGTCCTGCCATGATCACTCCTGGTCCCATTTTATAGCTGGGAAAACTAAGGCCCATGAAACAATGGAATTAGCCTAGTCTCATGGAGTAACAATCCTCTGCATCCGAACCCAGGATCTGTTGATTGCAGTGCCCATGGTATTTGCACAGAACCATTCTACCTTGTTGGAAAGGTACCCACACCGATCACTCACTCACCCGTTTACCCTCTTTGGTTTTATTGAGCATGCTCTGGAGGAGTTCACAGTCTACTTGGGGAAATGGGGTGTGATCTGACATGCCATTAAATTATTTCAGCATCACAAGGAAGAGTTTTCTAGCTCAGTTTGGGGAAAATTTCATAGAAGGGCTATGTTGGTTGGGTTTTGCAGTATGAGTAGGGGTTCATTAGGGGGCTAAATGGAGGAAGGGCATTTTGGGCAGAGGAGATGGTAGGAGCAAAGGCAGGGATCCATGAAAAAGCATGATGTGTTTGGAGACCATTGAGCAGAATTGAGTGTCCCATCTTAGGGAGTATGGTGGTGTAGCTGCAGGAGACAAGACCAGGAGATAGATCAAACCAGAGCCTGGAGGTCCTCCCATAGCATTTAGGCTTTTCCCTGTGGGCAGAGGAGTCATGAAGATGTGTCCCAGTTCAACTGTTTCCACTTCCCCTTACACTCAGCTGCCTGGCACCAGGATGCTCTCACCAAGGTCAAATGGAAACGTGGGATGGGGCAAAGATCAGCATGGACTTTTCTGCACGGATCATGCTGCTCTCCTGGAGAGATCGTGCCCAGCTTCTACTCCAGGAATTTAAACCACAGAGACTCAGAAGCACAGAATCCCACCATTAAGACCTCTCCAACTCATGGACCCAACGATTTAGAGAACTGTAGCATTCATCTACTCATTTAGTCATTTGGTTAATAAAGTTGAAAAGCCCCCAGCAGATAGTGTATCAGTCAGTTACTGCTGTGAAACAAACCACCCCAAATCAGTGAGTTATATCAACAATCACTTATTGATTGGTTATTTGCCTGGGACTCATCTTGGCTGGACTCATTCATGCCAAGATGAGGGAGTGTACATGACCCTCTCAAGAAATCTGGCTCTGAGGACACAGAATCTGTGAACCATAGCCACTGCGATCACTCACGGCTTCCTAAGGGGTGAGCTGGGGCTTGTGCCAGTGGGGTCCCCAGCCCTGGTTGGGGTGGGGAGAATCAGGAACACCCAGACACGGTCATGTCTGGATGGGAGAAATCCTCATTTGGATTGGGGGATCCAATTGTTGCTTGAGGCTGGGTCCACCTTATCCAGTGGTCAAGACCCCACCCCAGGTCCACATTGCTCAGCGGTCCCACCCTCAGAACACCCCTCCAATGGCTGCCCACCCAGCTGCGACAGCACGCAGGCTCCCCCTCTATCTTCAGCGGCAACCCCCTTGGGGAGGAGAGAGCAGATAGCAAAACCGTGCTATTTACAAGCTTTCAAATGGGTTATTGAATCATAAACCGAAATCACAGGCTGTAACAAAATCAGCAAGGACCAGATTCAATAAAGTGAAAAAGGAGGGGGAATAAAAATCCCACCTAGAAGCTTGTTAAAGCCTTCTCTGCCTCTCCTGGCCTTGCTTTCTGAACATCTCACTCTTTCTGGTGAATAAACCCAGCCTGGTCTGGTTTGATGTTGGTGCTATTAATTCCATATGTGGTTTATGAGTAGAGGAAAAGGCTGTCATTACATGCCGCTGGAACTTGAAAAGAACCCAATGGGCACTTCACTGCCGCCTTGCTGGAGCGGCCGATGCCTCTGCTGAGTTGGGAGTGTCTCAAATTCTAACACAAGAAAACTTTTAGGGTGGGGGGCGTGCACGTCTTGTGGTGCCTGTGAAATCTCCATGTATGGGGGCTCTCTGCTCCTAAGGAGGTCCTGGGGTCATCCAATGACCTTCCTCTGGTGCCATATATGTGTGCACCGGACTTTACAGTTTACAAAGCACCTTTGTGTGGTTTATCTGAATTACGATACAAGCTCAGAAGGCACAGTGCCCGGCCTGAAGGAGTCACCGCAGACTATTAGCTGGGATGTTATCATCATTATTTCCTATTAACTGCGTGTCTACTCTGCATGAGATGCTAAATGTATGTTACCTATAATTCTTCAATCAAATTCTGTAAAACCGGAATTATCGTGCCCATTTTACAGATGAAGACTCAGACTCAGACTTGCACAAAGGCCTCTTCGGGGCAGATTTAGGAATCAAGCTCCGGCTGCAGTGCTCCAAAGCCACATTCCCTGCACACGCGGTAACTCTGAGAGGGAGGCAGAGCCCCACTTGGATTTACTCTGCCTGTTTATTAGGCGAGTAAACTGAGTCTCAGTAAGTTTAGGTGGCCACAGGGCACAGTCCAACGGGTCCCGGGGAGACATCATTTCCTTTTTCTGAGCTAGCTGCACGGACACTTATTACTTAAGAGGTTACATTGGTGCTGGAAATTTCCTTTGACTTAGGCTAACCAGACGTCTCATTTCACAGGTGGGAAAACCGAGGCTTGGAGATGTTCGTGCCTCGTCCAAGGTCACTCGGCCCGGAGGTGGTCAGAGCTAGGATCCGCACCTACAGCTGTCTGTCTCCAGAGTTTATACTCCTGCCATAGCTATTCCATTTCTGGAAAAGCAATTGTCGTGGCTCAGATGCCGAGCCCTGCCTCCCTGGATGGGCCTGCCAAAACCAGCCCTGCTTTGATGAAGGCCAAGTACATCCTTTGCCAGCCTGAAATTGGATTCCCCGGCCTAGAATCACCTGCATGTATCCCTGACTTTCAGGTTCAGATCAGACATTGTGTAGCACAACAGATAAGGATTCAGGATCTGGCTTCAAATCCCAGCTCTACCAACTTCCATCTGAACCTTTTTCAAGCCTCAACTTTCTTACCTTTAAAGTAGAGATGATAATAACAGCATCTTTCTTATAGGGTTGCTGTGAAATCAACACGCATAGCTAATATCTAATGAGTACCAGACACTCTTTTAAGCCCTGTACGTGTGTTAGTCCTAATCCTAGATGTATCACCATTTTAGAGATGAGAAAACCGAGACAGTGATTCGCCCGAGGTCTCGTGGAGTTGGAGTCTGCACCCAGGTAGGCTTGCTCCAGGGCCCCGTTGTTTGCAGTGACCCTAAGCTGCCTCTCGGTTTAATGAAGCAATGTGGTAGTCGGACATGGGAAAACCTAATGACCATCACATCTTTTTGTATTCTGGAGGATGTTAATGTTTTATCATGCAAAAGGAGGATTCCAGTTAACAATGACAAAAGCCATCCCCTGCAGGGCTGGAATGTTTGCCAGAGAACTGAGATCCACTCCCACAGAAGGTCCATCTGACCCAGGCCTCTAGGCCAGCCCTGCTCCCTGCACTTAACTCTCCACTCAAACCAACACTTCTTCAATTCGTGAATATGCCCAACGCAGTTTCATGCCCCTGGTCCTTTGCACATGCCTCTCCTGATGCCTGATTTTCTTTCCTTCCTTTGTACTACCAGCAAACACGTACCTAAGAGATTCAGCTCAAAAACTACCTCCTTCTTAAAGCCTCTCAAAACCGCCCAAGCAGAATGAATTCTCCTTTCTCTGTGCTTCCTACAGCTGTAGTGAATTCCCCTCGGATCCTTACCAATCCTGGGTTCTCATGGCAGGTCTGTGTGTCTGTCTCCTTCACCAAGGAGTCCTTGAGGGCAGGAACTGGGATATATTCATTTCTGTGGGATCAAACAATGCTGATTGAGTGAATGAATGAATGAAGTTTCTGCCCTGGCTGGACTGTAGCTGACATCTCATCATCGGTCCTATGAGAACTGAATTCTGGTCCCGGCTTCGCCACGGCCTCCCTGTGTTCTCTTGGAAAAGGCATGTTGCTTTTAAGCGCCTCAGTTTCCCCATCTGTAAGATGACAGGTGCGGACCAGCTGGCCTCCAAGAGCTTTCTGTGACTGTAGCTTTTTCATCACCCCACTCCGCCCCGTGCCTCCAGGGACCCCATCACAGTAGTGGGGCTTCCCTGTATCCTCGTCTCCCTTACCCCTCCCCCCCGCACCACCCAGCAGGTCCTGGAGGTTCTCCTGCCAAAATCTCTCTCGAATCTGTCTTCTTCTCGCCGTTTCCCGCTGCCTTCCTGATGCCGGCAGCCCTCATCTCTCGCCTGGATGCCTGTAGTAGCCTTAACACATCTCTGCCAGCTCCCTCCAGCCATTGCACACTCAGCAATACGTGTGATCTTTTCAAAACACAAACTCAGCCATGTCTCAGCCCTGATGAGCCCCTCCCATGCCTCCTCTGGGCCCCAGGCTGTGGACCAGAGACCTTCCGGAAGGGGATGGCTAGCCCTCTCCACCACGCATGCCCCTTCCATGACTCTGGTCATGTTGACCTTCCTGTGATTTGCACTGACTTGCTTGGTCCACACGCCAGCCTTCGCACATGGCTTTCCCTGTCTAGAAAGTTCTCTTCCCCCTCCCGGTGATCAGATTTCAGCCTGATTTTCAGAAGCGTTAATCTGAGGAAGCTCAGAGACGCCTTGCAGGACCTCCCCAGACCAGACCAATCGTTCCTACTATATCAGCTCTCTGAGCTCCCTTTCCTCTCTTTCACAGCCCTTATCCCGGTTTCCAGTCTAATTTTACTTGAGAGACTTTGCTGAACTTTTTTCTCCACCCCTGTACTGTGAGCCAGATAAAGGTAGGACACGCTTGCCGGATACCTCCCACCCCACCCGCCTCATTATATCGGCAGCATCCAGCCCTGTGCCTGGCAAGAACTCACAAACATTTACAAAATGAATGAATGTGTCCTCCAGCTCCGGGAAATGGGCTGAAGGAGCAGTCACATCACCTGTCTGGTGCAGACCTCAGTTTCACTAACTCTGAAATGGGCTCGTGATCGCCCATCTCTCTGCACTTGTCACTGCTCTGCTGGAGGCTCCAAAGCCACCCAGAGCAGAGTGAGATGCTCCGAGGCCTGGAAGGCACAAAAGCCAAGGGCTGGGGTTGGGAGGGACCCCGGGCATCGTCAGGATGACCGGGCCACCACCGGTTTTTGTGACCATCTGCTCACCTCACTGAGAGCTGGGCAGTGGAGCCAGGACTCCAAGTCCTGAGAAGGACTGGAGAAATGTATGTTCAGTTTGCAGACCTGCCGAAGGGACAGAGTCAGTCACTGCGTCCTGGTCGCTGTGCTCATTGCTCTGCAGAGTCAAGGTCAGGAGGAGGTGTCAAGGGGCTTCTCCAGGACTTTCAGAAGAAACTGCGGGGTCTGTGCTTCACTCCCCAGATGAGAACCACAGGGCTTTCAGCCTTGGGCTTGTCCAGTGTGGTTCAGCGAACCAGATTTTCAGATGCCCCGGGGAAACTCTCTTTTCTAATCATCTACATTTAAACAGACGGGCATTTTGGTTTATCTGTAGCTGGTGTCATTCATTCAGAATGATCTCCTGAATGCGGGTGCTGGGCTGGCCCTGGGGGGTGGGGCACCCTGGGGGGTGCTGGGCTGGCCCTCAGGGGTGGAGGCAGGCAAGGCCACTGTCTTTTCTGGGCCCAGAGGTGAAGCCCGTGTTTTCCGGGTGCAGAGGTGGGCAAGAGGAAGCAGGGGCCTCTGTGGGAGCAGGCTTGTTTGGGGGTGAGTGGGGAGTCGCAAATATCTCCATGAAGAAGTGATTTTTTAAAATTATGGTGAAACAGAGGTAACGAAATTTACCCTTTTAACCATTTTTAAGTGTACAGCTCCGTTGCACTTGGTTATGCAAACATCACCCCAATCCATCTCCAGAACTTTGTCATCACACCAAGCTGAAACTCTGTATCCAGCAAATTATAACTATTTATTACGCCCTCCCCTCAGCCCCTGACAACCTCCTCTCTACTTTCTGTCTCTATGAATTTGACTGCTCTCTGTACCCCATATAAATGCACTCATACAGTATCTGTCTGGTTTATTTCACTCAGCATCATGTCTTCAAGGTTCATCCCTGTTGTAGCACATGTCCTAATTTCCTTCCTTGCTGAGGCTGAATAATATTCCATTGTATGGACAGACGGAATTTTATTTAGCCATTTATCCATCAGTGGACACCTGGATGCTTTTTACTGTTTGGTTCTTGTGAACTGTGTTGCTGTGAACGTTAGCGGGAAATAGTAACATTCATGGTAATAAGGCTACGAGGGGTTACAGAAAGGGCTTTAGGATTAGACCTGTGTTCCAATCCTCATGCTGCCATTAACCAGCTGTGTGACCTCAGGCAAGTTACTTAACCTCTCTGAGCCTCCATTTTCTCTTCTCTAAGAAGAGGGAAAGAACACACGTCTCCTAGTGTCAATGGGCGTGGAGGGTGGTGACGGACTCAGAGCAGGTGCTCAGTAATGTACTAGGAATCACCCCTTTCATGCTCCTGCCCAGGACTGCCAAGTGTGAATACGCGTGTTGCTCACTGCCCAAGGGCACCTGGCCCAAGTACTTGACTTGCTGGTTTGAATCCAGGGGACAGTTTCTGCCTGGAAGGGGCACCTGTGTCCCACCCACCCAAAGGCACATATATGCTTGCTCAGCCCCCAGTCTCAATCAACATAGGCACCCAGGTTTACACCTGCTTGACAAGTGAGGGGTGGTAAAAAAAAAAAAGCACAGAGAGGCTAATTAACCAGCCCAAGGCCACACAGTGGCACTTGGACCCCTTCAGGTATGAGAACCTGGCTCCAGGCCCGGAGAACAGAGCGATATGTGCAGCCCTGAACCTCATGCAGGCGAGCAGAGAGGAGGGACCCGGGCTGCCCCTCAGCCTCCCACCCCCTCCCCCTCTCCTATTAAGAAGCGGAAACTGAAATGAAAAATTCAAACCTCCGTCTGGTTCATGGTTAGGCCCCACCTTAGGGAGGTGGCCTCGGAGTGGCTGCTGATACAGGGCTCCGTGTTGTTAAATGTGCCCCCCTCTCAGCCCCTCCCCGACGGGTTCTTTCCATCCTGGGATCATTTTCCAGACAGCCCAGAGCCTGGCTCGCCAGACTATTTAGTCTGGGTTTGGTGACCCCCGTCTGACTGCAGGCAGGACGTGCTCAGGTTTCTGGCCTCCTTGGTACAATCACTGCGGCCCCCCTCCTGCCCCCGCCCTGACTTCTTACACAAACACTTACCTTCAGGCCCAGGACTTCCTGGCACGCTTGCATCAGACCCGGCCACCGGCTTCCAGAAGGGCGCTCCATCCAATGCCCGACAACGCAGCCCTCTGTCCAGAGTTCTGTGGGCCCAAGCATCATTCTCAAACACAGAAACTTAGCTGGATGGCATTCCCATCGCTGCTATCCCTCCTCGAGTCTCTCCGACCCTGCCCACTGGATAGATAAGTTCATTCAAAGAAAAATAAGTGATGGGAATTCAAAATATCTTTCCATCTGTTCACGGGTGCTAGATTAGCTATTTGTCTTGCTCCGTGTCTCAGGTGGGGAAACTGAGGCCCCAGAGGGCGAGAGAAAGGAAAGAGTCAAGCCCCTGAGGTGGGAAGGGGCAAAACCAGGAACCGGAAGTCAGATCTTCGGGCTCCCAGGTCATGTCAATGTCAATGCAATTCAGCTTTTGTCTGTACTCCCTCTGGGTTCCGCAATGCCTTTCAACAATGCTTTCTGAGAATCTTCTGACACTTCCTGAGACACTTGGGTATCCTGGAAGTAGAACTACCTTATTTATGGCATCTTACTTGGGTGCACCGAAGTAGGAGAGGGAGATGTTGGTGGCCTCTGCATCCTATGGGGTTTTGATGCCAGAAGTCAAGTTCCTTTAAAAACCTGCATGCTTGGCACCCTGCCAGAAGTGTGGACAGTAACCAGTACTAATGACTCCCATTTGTTAAGCGCTCACCATGCGCCGGGCATTGTGGGAAGTTCTCTACGTGCAATTCTCTCAGTAGGTTGAGGTAAGGATTATGTCTACAACCCATTTTACAGGTAAAGAAACTGAGGCCCTGCATGGGAAAATGACTTGGAGAAGGTCACACAGCCGGCAAGCAGAAGAGCCTGCATTCAGGTGTCTTTGACATCTTTCTGTATTTCTTTCTTTACCATGAACGTGTTTGATTTTTATCGTACAAAAACAAAACAATATAATCCACAGTAACAATAGCAGGGAGCAGTGTTATCCATCTTGGTGCCCAAATACATTACATGTTATCTAGCCTCCTTCAATTCTCCCTTTCACACACACACACTGGGGCTAACTGCTGTGGACAGTTTGGTGTCTATTCCTGCTGATTCCCCCCACCCCATCAGATACTAATTTATATGCAGATGTATAATTTTATAGGGCTTTCTAAGCCATACATATTTGCAAGATTTGATTTTTAAAAATCAATAGGAAATGTATTGCTTTTGCTATTGGGGAGAGAATAAAGATATTAAAAATTAAATCAAATTTCAAAACAGGACTGGGTTGGGCATTTCAAAGCTGCCAAGGCAAAGTTCTATTCCAGAAAGTTCCGCACCAGCGAAGCTGGAGTCCCCCACAGAGATGCTCAGATCCCAGTGGCTAACCAGTTGTATTTGGCTGGGGTGGGGAGGGAGGGATGTCTCTAATTCCCACCAGCTCGCCTAGCCATCCCCTCCCCACTGCCCCTGGTCGATGAGCATTGTGTTCAGTTTGTGGACTCAGCAAAACACGCCCGCCCCGCTCGCTCCCTCCTCGGATAGGAAGGTGGTTGCCTACTAGCCCATTAATTCTGCTTTAATTGCTCCAGCTCTCAAGTGGAGGCCTGAGCCCTAATCGGGCTGAGGCGGGTTCGCCTGGCAGCCGCTGTTCTACCAGCTCTGGGGAGATGCTCAGAGAGTCTGAGAAAAAGGAGTGATTCTCCGCGGGTCCCTCTGGGTGGTCTGGAGGGGAGGGGCCACTGACCAGTGGGGATGTAGCCCAGAAAATGGACCCAAGAAGCGGCCACCAGCAAGAGAAGCCAAAGGGAGCAGTGGAAGGTGGAGCGGTAGCATCTAGGCACCATCCACCGCCACTCCTCTGGCATTTATCGCTGACATCATCTTTGTTCTTTTCTTCCGGGGGTCTGCCTTCCCCATCCAAATGTCAGCTGTATCAATGTTCACCTAGTGCCCAGTGTAGAGTAGGTGCCCAGTAAACCGAGGTTAATTTAATAAACATATTTTGCCCTTTCCACATCGTCTCCTGCCTGCAACTGCCAGGGAAGTCTTGGGAGAATCTCAAGAGATGGATAGGGAAACTGAGACCTGGAGAAGGGGCTTAGTTTCTTCAGGCCAGTGCCTGGCTCAGGCTGCCTTTCAACTTCGCTCGTATGAATGGCCCTCGCTTATCTTTGCGGGAGTGGTGTGACTCATCACCAGCTGCACAGAGCAGGAGGGGTTGGGGAGCGTCCACGCTACTTTCTTTTGAAAGTAGCTTCTGTATGGAACCCCTCCATGCCCTGAAAACAGCCTCATTATGCACGAAGAACAGAATCCTCCTCCCCTCTGTCGGGGGGGGTGGGGGGTGGCTATGAACCTGCTCTCCAGGGGACCAGCAGGGCAGGCCCTGGAGAGCAAAATGATAGGTATCTAATCTCTGACCTTCGAATGAAGGCAGGGATTCATCAAGGATTTCAGATGGAGGGGCGGGGTGGCTGCACGAGGCGGGGGCCTTGCCTAACTCGGTCCTCACCTCAAGTCACTCCTGGCTGCTGCAGATGCTCTCCAGGGTGTTGGGCCTGCGAAGAAAGGGGGTCCAGGATGGAGAAAGGAGGAGGTGAGGCGGGAGCGGAAGGGACAAGCGAAGCAGGGTGGGAACAAAGGGGGCAGGAAGCAGAGGAAGAAAAAAGGCAATAGACAAGGATGCCAGCCCATTTGGGGTGGTGGGAAGCACGGGAGGAAACCTGCAAAGGAAACATAAAGAGGAAGAAATAAAGGGTAAGAAGAAACTCAATAGGGCTTGAAACAAAGCCACGGAGAAAACAAAGGGAAAGAAAAAATGCAAGCAGAGTAAGCAGCAGCAGCACAAACAAGGAGGCCTCCAGAATGTCATGTGTCTATCCTGGGTGGGGGGGTGCATGCATCTGAGCCAACAGCGTGGCCCCAGCCTCGCTCTGGTCCCTCACCTCAGCCCTGGTACCCACCAGCTCCCAGGAGCCTCTGGGGGCAGACAGCTGGGCCTCGTCCTGCCTCTTCAGCCCAGCCTACTCCGACTGGCCAGTCTCCTAGGGCAGGGAGGCAGGCCACGCCCACCCATCTTTGCTCCACCGAGGTAGAAGCCCCAGAGACCCACGGGCTTCCTGAAGTGTTCTGAGCCACCCCAAGCCCTCCCTCCCCCTCCTTCCCCACCACCTAGAAAGCTGTCCAAGTGGAACAGCCTGCAGCTATTACAATAAACACCTCAGCCACAACCTGTCTCTGTTTTGCATATTAGCAGCCTTAATTCTGATGAAATATGCAAATGTATGCAAAATGAAATTCATCTCATAATGACACAAGGCGATTAAACAATTTTTATGCTTAAATATTCTGTTTAATGAAATCAAACAGACCTGCGCGTGTGACAAATTCTCCACAGCATGGAGAAATTAGCGGGGATATAAAAAAAGAATACCAAACCAGTAGCACCCTCCAGCATGGCCCAGATCTCCTTCACCTTTCTGGTGCGAAGAAAGGGGGGAAACGTGTGTTTTTGATAACCAAATGAACTGAAAATTATATTACTGAAAACTGCTATAATAAGTTAGAAGCAACATGCCTTTGTTTCTGGCTTTTGAGAGGAACCCCCAAGCCCCACCCCATACCTCCACAGTATGGCCATAATATATTTATACTCCAAGTTGATGGAAGAAGAGGAGGTATGTGTGGACAGCAGGGAGGCCAATTCAGCCATCGTCTCGGTGCCCAGGAAATGGAGTGAGGAGCCCTTTGCCCACTTACCACCAGGAGGCTGGCTAGCAGCGTCTCTCAGCCAAACTTTCTTGTTTTGCTTACCTGGGCAGAACGTGTTCTTGCTCTGGCCACTGGGAGATAGTTTGAGGGCACTGATGTTCTTAGCCCTGCTCGGGTAGAATCTATTTTGATATTTACCTGGAGGAGGAGAAGATGAAGAATCAAGAAAGACGAGTAGGAGGAGGAAGAAAAAAGGGAATAAATAGCAGAGAAAAGAAAAGGATGAAAAGCAAGCAGTATAAGATGGGGGATAGAGTGAAGAAGGTATATAAAAAAGAGGGGTGAAAGGAGAAGGAGGTGGAAGGGTAAAGAAAAAGAATAAATAATGGCTAACATTTTTGAACCATAGGTGTGTGTTTTCTTATATATGATCTCCTTGAATTCTCCTATCGCCTCTCTGAGTTTGGTATTATTATCATAACCACGTTGCATTAGTGATGAGGAAGCCAAGCTTCAGAGAGGTTAAGTAAGCTGTCCAAAATCACACGGCAGAGATGAGGGAAGGAGGATTCAGGATCTGAAGGCAGGTGCATTGAAGCATTCTCCAAGGGGGTTGGGGATGGGCTGCTGGTCTACAAATTCCCCTTAAGAACTCTGGGATATTTGGGCAAATCTCCAAGTGCTAATTTGCATATGAACCCTTACGGCTCCTGGGAAAAAGCCTTTTGGAGATTGAATGGAGGCCTGGGCATTGCACGTGTGCAGTCAACAGCTTCGCTTTCTCTGATCTCCTCATCTAGAGGGCCCAGCACCCAACCGGCTCTACTTCATCGTCATTTTACTATTGACTTGTTTGTTGCCATATTCCAATAGAATGTGCTTTCCAGGAGGGCAGGTGCCCTGTGTGGCCTACACTCAGCAAGTGTGCATTCTTCACTTCCCTTCCAGAGGCAAAAGCACCTTGAAATTGTCTGGGGGTGTTCCTCCAGGACCCCTAAAAGTCCCCTCACTTATGGCTGATTTATCAGGCACTGCTTACAGGCCTGCCACTATTCTAAGACCTAGTTCACATTATTATCTCATTTAATCCTCACAACAACCCTGTGAGGTAGGAACTAATATTACCCTCTTGGGCAAATGAGGAAAGAGAGACTCAGGTTACCTGTCTGAGGTTACCCAGCTTGGCAAGGCCAAGACTGAAACCCAGGCAGTCAGGCTCCAACTGCCCTACTAATAACAACAACAATAATATTAATAATAACTTCTGTGACTTGCCACGTGCTTAGCACTGCCTGGAGCCCTCTCATAGCAGCCTTGTAAGGCAAGTAGTGTATTTATTTCCATGTTATCAGCGGGGAGATGGAGGCTCAGAGGAGGTCATTGATATGTCCAAGTTCATACAGCAA